TCCTAGGGATGTGATCTTTTCAGGAGCAACAGTGGATATGTGCTGTATTCATGGTGATAAGGTATCGTACCCAGTTGCTGAGGTTGCAATTGAAGTAGAAGGCCAGTGTTACACTCTTTCAGTGGGAGTGCTGCAAACCTTGCCTTATCAAGTGGTGTTGGGCTGTGATCTTCCAGTACTCACAGAGCTAATAGCCAAGCATTCCTGTCAGACTGAAACCGTTGAAAGTGTGTTGGCAGTCACAAGGTCAAGGAAGGAAGTATGTAATAAAAGGATTTAGCATTAGCAGAACATTTTAATTCCCTCACTTTTCAGAAGTCCAGAAGAAGGGATGGTTTAAGCATTCTTCTACTTTGGGTCTGTACTTTGGCTCTTTGTTGATCATCCACTCGATGAGATCCTTTGCCACCACATCTTGAACGTGATCCAAACTGTACTTCCCTTTGTGAATGTTGAACTCACATTCAAAGGATTTGCCAAATGGATGGTGGCCTCCAGAGAGGATATAATAAACCAGCATGCCTGCCACCTTAATAACAACACATATTATCAGTTTAGGTATGTTTACCAAGCCATTTTTCAGTTAATCAAGTTTGTGTTCAGACTTTACCTGGATGTCAGTGCTTGACTTGTATGATATCACAGATTCTTCTGCTAAAGTCTCTCGGGCCATCCAGCATTTGGTTCCTGCACTGCGTGTAAGTAAAGTTGTTTGGTCTTTGAGTAAGCGTCTGCTTATGCCAAAATCAGCTAATCTTGCCCTCCCAGTAACATCTGCAGGAGGAATCATGTGAAATAAAATCATATCTGGTAATCATAAATTAAAATGTTTTTGTCTTGAATTTCAAAAATGACTTACCAATCAGAACATTCTGGGGTTTGAGATCTCGGTGAAGAATTTTAGGATTTCCACAGTGAAGCACCTTTAGACTTTCAAGAACTTGTTTGACAAGTTTCTTTAACATCAGTGGGTCATGGTCATCATTCTTGATATATTCTTCCAAGGTGTATTCACAAAGTTGCAGACAAAGATATCCAAAGTTCTCATCCTCTGCAGCATCAACATATCGTACGATATAAGGATGATCGAGTTCTGGATGTTGTAGAATTACTTCTTCGTTCTTCAGCACGTCATAGTTGCTTTTAGACATTCTCTTAATGGCAACTTCTGTGCCGTCCTTTCTCAGCCCCAAGAAGACTTCAGTACCATCGCTTCCCTTCGCAATTCTGAATTCTGTATTATTCACATAAATAATGCTTCTGATTCTGGATATTTTACTGTCATCTGTGCCAACAAGTTTCTCCAGTTTTCTCCTCCACCTGTTGCTGATTGAAAGCCATTTTTGTTTTTCTGATTTTCCATTGGTGCTGTAGTCAAAAGGCTTTAGATTTGAAGTTGATTCTACAACAGAAACTTTTGTTGTTTGATCAGTTGCTGCAGTGGAAACTTCAGCATTTGGGTCTTCTGTCTTTTCCTTCTTTTCCTTCTTCTTTTTCTTCTTCCTCCCTAAAGTTGAGGCTGTGTTTCCCTCACATTCTGAGTTTGGTTTACTCAGATATTCTTTCAGACTTCTCAGCACCTCTTTCAGTTTTTCATTTATTTCCATTTCTACAGATGTCAGTATGTCCTCGGGCACTGAAGTTATGCCCACTGATTTAAAAATATTTGCTGTCTGTTCAACTGACAGCAGGTTTCCAAATATAGCGTATGTGTAAATCCTGATGTTAGTGGAGTGTTGCTCATTTACAAAAGTGGCAATTGTTCTGCATAAGTTCTCTAAAAAGTTGACGTGCCAGTCCTTTGTGCCTTTTGTTTTCTGTGTTATCACATACAGTGTTTGTAGCACTGATTCACAGATGTCAGGTCTCTCTTTTA